TGGGACTGCTGGAGCCCAGCTCCCAGCCCAGACAGTGCAGGGTGGACACCGTCCAGTAACCAGCTGGGCGTGCCGGACTGGGTGTGGTGAGGGTGATGTAGGCGGAGCCAGGACCCACCCGCTGGCGATCCAGGGCAAAGTCCTCGCTGGTCAGCTGACCAGGCTTGTGCAGGTGCCTCTGGCTGCAGCCCCTGCCTGTTCTGTCCGCCTGGGGTCTGGAGACAGGGTCCCCCCAGGGTGTCCTGTGACCCACAGACCTGAGCTCACGCGGAGCCTGGGGACTGAAGGGGGTGGGACGTGCCCTGCAGCACGCCCCAGCTGTCTGAGCCAGGCCTGTGGGCCCACCCCTCCCGCCCGGCCCTTGCCTGGCCAGGCCGTGCCAGGCTCGGGGCCTGCTTGCGCCCAGCCCCCTCGGTGTCCCGCTGGCAGCCGGTCACGCGGACTAATGAGAGCATGCTAATCCGCCGGGCCCTGGCAGTGGGCCCTTCCCTGTCCCCAGCGAGGGGGGATGGGCGCAGAGGGCCCGGGGTCCTCGGGGACGGTGTGTCCAGGGGCACGCTCCCTGTGGGCCTGGGCCGGGCAGCCCCTGTGGGGGAAGCCCCTTCCTGCTTTGGACTCCTCCTGGGGTCTTTGGCCCCAGGTCTCAGGGGGGCGGTGGAGGGGGGGGTGGCCAGTTGACTCCATCCCCACAGGGGCCACGGAATCACCGCACACAGTTGTCCAGGTGGGACGCTCCGAGTCATGGGCAGCCCCCAACCAGGGCAGACCCCTGCCAGTGGGGAAGCTGAGTGGAGGAGGCTCCAGGTTTGCGCCAGTGTCCCCGGCAGTGGGTGGGCACTTGTGGACTCTGGCAACCACCCTTGTGCCAGCTCTCTGTTCCGTTTGGCCTCCCAGGCGGGAGGGGGGCAGCTGAAGGTCCAGGTGGGGCCTGTCTGGGGACAGAACACCTTGATCCCGCTTTTACCCAGCCCTGGTGGTGGTCTGCCCGTTTCCCTGACCGCTTATCTGTGTGGACGGCTGTGGCGAGGGCAGCAGCTCCTGGGCTCAGGACCTGCCCAGTTGGTGTCTGCGGGCCAGGCAGAGGCAGGCAAGGCTGCCCACAGCTGTGTGTGCCCACAGGCGATGGCAGGAGCCGCACCCCACTTTCCGGACCCTGGCTCAGCAGGGCAGTGCCGGCCGCTCCTGGCAGCCCCGCGCATGTCCCCCGAGGCCGAGCCCTCTGCTACCCGGGATCACAGGCCCGACCCTCTGAGACCCCTTCCCCTCCTGCTGTCCCCAGGCCCCGTGTTCTTCGCCCGGGGGCCTGGCTGCCTCCTTGGCTCCTTCCAGGGGAAGAGGAGGAACTTGAGCTGACTGTGGTGTCCTGTGCCCTGGAGTTTAATATTTCGAGTTCCAGTAGGGCTGCTCGCATCTGCCGCGGGCAGGCGGCTCCCGTATTCATTACCACCCTGCCTGGCCGGCCGAGCCCCGCGAGCAGGCGGTGGGAGCCTGTCCCTGGGCCCCAGAGAGGGAGGGTCCGGACCCCACGGCCCCTCCCCGCCCGCAGCACAGACTGGGCTCGGAGGCCTGTGGGCGGAAAGGATAGGACTTGCTTGGGCGTGGACTCCTGGGGCCTGCTGCGTGAACAGGGTGGGCGAAGACCGTGTGGGCAGTCCTAGTGAGAGAAGAGGGCCGCTGACCCCCACTCCGCGCAGCCTCCGGCTGCCTCTGTCTGCAAAATGGTGACAGCACTCAGTGCCCCCTTCCCGGGCCTGGCACAGGGCAGTTGCCTGACTTCACTTGGGCCCTTGGGGGCCTGGCCCAGCAGCGGTGGTCTGTGCTGAGCAGGGCAGGCAGGATCATCCCGGTGCCTGGCAAGCTGGGACATGAGCTCAGGCCTGGAGGAAGGCCCCAGACGACAGGAGGGGCTGCTGGAAGCACAGAGGTGGGCTCCAGGTGCAGCCTCAGCTGGACCTGCTCCTCCTGGGAGTCTCAAGCTGGGAGATGTGGCTGGTGCCCTGCCTCCCTCGGGAGGCAGACCTGCGACCCTGGGAACTACCTTGGAGGTGTCTGGAGACCCCCTGGCTTAGGGCTCCTGGTGCAGCTGGGGTCTGGGCCCTGGAAGCGGTGGTCACTAGGAGTGAGGGGACCCTGGGGCGCGGGAAGGGTTGGGCGGGGCTCAGGCTGCAAGCAACACCCTCGGACTGAGGGTCCAAGTGGAGGGTCTTCTCTGATGAGGGGCAGCCCCCACCGCGGGGCCGATGGAGTGCTGGGCTCTTGCTCTGGTCTGACATCCCACTGTACCCCGGGGGCCCCCTGCACCCAGCTCCATCCAGCTGGAGGACCCCCAAGGCCCGCAGTGGGGCCTTCGCTGATGCGCCCTCTGCCCCCAGATGAAGATCTCCTTCAATGACAAGAGCCTGCAGACCACGTTTGAGTACCCCGCCGAGAGCTCCCTGCAAGAGGAGGAGGCGGAGGAGGAGGAGGAGGGGGACGTGGAGGAGGATGCGGAGGCCTCCGGCCCCGACGGCGTGCCGGAGAAGCACCTCATGCTCTTCCTGCCCCGGGCCACGTTCGTGAGCAGCGTGGGGCCCGAGAGCCCACGGCTGCCGGACGGCAGCTCCAGTGAGTGCCTGTCAGGGCGGGCGGGCGGGCAGGGGGGGTGGGGCTGCCCAGGTCGTCGGACTACAGCCACATGTCCACCCGTTTGGCCTGCAGGCCTGTCCAGCTACACGCCGAAGCACTCCGTGGCTTTCAGCAAGTGGCCGGAGCAGGTGCTGGAGCGGACTCCAAGTGTGGAGGAGGCCCCGCCCAAGGAGGTCATGGTGAGCAGGGCCGGGTGGTGGATGGGCACCCAGGGAAGGTGGGAGAGATGGGGGAATTTAACGCCTGGACGCGCCCTTGATTGCCTCCACACCACTCTCAGCTCACCCCCGCCGGTCAGAACGACCTATCGGACTTCCGAAGTGAGCCAGCCCTCTACTTCTGACCTCCCGCCCCCCGACCAGCACGGCCAAGGCTGACGCCCTCCAGCCTGCCAGGCTGTGCCCACCCACGTGCCGCACATGCTGCCTGGGGCCTCACAAGGAGGCCGGTGCTCAGGGCCTGAGCTGGGGGGTACCCGGGACTCCTGACCCTGGTTTGCGGCCACTGCCTGTGGGGAGGGGTGGGTCCTATCAGGTGTGTCCGGGTGGAGGCCGACGGGACTCGGGTTTCCCCAGCCCACACCCCCACGTCAGCCACTGTTTCTGATGATCAGCAAGTCTCTCCCCGCCTCTGACGACGGACTCAATAAACAACACTGGATGAGCCGCCTCTACCTTCCTACATGGTCCTGGGCTGGGGAGAGGGGGTGCAGGGGTGCGGTCTGCGAGGCTGCATCGAGGCAACATGGGCGAGGCCAGCCATCCGGGCTCGGATGGAGGAGCAGCATGGACTCATGTGCCCAGGGAGGTGGCCTTGAGTGACACCCCACACCGCGTAGCGTGGCCCAGGCTCCTCCCCACCTGTGGCCCTTGGCGCCCCGCTTCCCGTCCCAGCCACCCTTTGGCTGGGCAAGGGTCTTCCCTGTGCCTGCCCTGTGAGTACCCCCGGGCTCTAGGGCTCCCCTGCCCCCTAGAAGCAGCTCAGTGAGAGCTGTGATGGGAGGCGGGACGCCAGGCGAGCTTTCTGGGGGCTGGAACTCCATGGGCCTGGGAGCGGGAGCACTACGGCTGTCGGGTCTGAAGATTTTCCTGAAGGGCCAAGGGCTGGGGGTGCACAAAGAGGGGCTGGGCAGGCAGCGTTGCTGCTTGTTTAGACTGGAAGGTTCTCGGACCCACCGGAGCCTGCAGGAAGGCCGTGGCAAGCTGATCACTCGCTTGGGGTCCTGCCTGCAGGGAAAACTGATAAGAGGTGACAAGGAACGGGAGCGGCTCCTGGCTGGACTGGCTGCCTGTGGAGCCAGGCCATTCACAATCCAGCCGTCGAAGGCGTGTCTTTTCCTCTTGGAGTGTTAAGCCCAAGAGAAATGCCACCTGGCTAGGCTTGGGAAGGAGGAAGGTGTTTTCCTGGAGGAGGGGGCCCAGGCTTCTGTAGACCTTTTCAACTGACACGTGCTTCCCAATCGGCCCGGCCCTAAGAGACAGCAGTTGTGGGGACCCCAGGTGGGCTGACAGGCCAAGGAGATGGGCCCAGAGAGGACTCAGGATGGAGGGCTGGACCCCAGACTGCACGGAGGTCGCTCGTGACCAGACTGGGAAGCACAGGTGCTGCCCGGCAGCACTCGGAGTCACTGGGCTGGAGAGCAGCTCTTCCCGGGGGCTCTAAGGCCAAGCAAGTCCCCTGGGCCCGGCCTTATGCTAGAGGCCAAGACCAGCAGCACCTTCACTGAAGTGTGGCCTGTATGATAGGCTCAGGGGAAGGGTGTGGCAGAGGGTCACAGGAAATGCTCAGGGGCACCCTTATTTCTGTCCCTAAAGCCAAAACCCTGGACAGAGGGAAAGTCACCCCAGGCCCTCTTCTCTCCTTCAAAGGAGCCATATGACAGCTGGGAACGGTTTGTGTTCTGACTTGAGCGGGGGGTGCAGTTTGCATCTGGCAGCCCCACACTCTACACAGGCAGCAGTGTGGCATGCATCTTTACAAAAACAAACTTTATTGACAGTCACAGGCCTCCAGGGCAAGCTCTGAGGCGAAGAAGGGCCCCAGCCCCTCCCCCACCTGCCTGGGCACCTACCAGCTGAGGGAGGAAGCGGTGCTGAGTTTAGACTCGGGGCCTTCCCTGCAGCCCCGGGGGGTGTGGGGGCCCTGCACAGAGCTACCCTCCCCAGAGCCTGCGTGAGTGCAGGACTAGGACCCCCACCTGGTGGGCCACACCCAGGGCCATCCTGTCACCCAGCGCCACTGGAGCTTGGCAGTTGCCTCTCTTGGCACCAAACACAACAAACGGAGAAAGCTGCTTCCCTGAAGAACAAAGATGCTTTGAAGATGGGCTTGCTGGGGGTGCTGAACCACAGGCAGGACGCCCACCTGGGGCCTCATCAGCTCTCTTTGCCTCCGCTGCTCTTCTGCTCTGAGGCTGTGGCCTTTGTCAGGTTCCCTGCTTCTCGCTTCAGGACACTAAGCAGAGTCTGCGAGCTCTCCAGGATCTGCGAACAGAGACATCAGCCAGTTAACACTCTTCCTTCCATCAGAAAGTTGCCATGGCCTGGAGCCCTGCTCCCCTCTGAGTATAGCCCAAAGCCCACTGCTCACACCCTGGGAAGCCAGGCCCAGGTCGGCTCCGGTCCTGCTGTTGCTCAGTCTGGAGCCAGCGACACGGTGACAAGGCGCCCACAGTAGGACCCAGGCCGCGCTGTCACTCCACGGGGGCCCACGGCCTGTCCAGGCGCCCCCGGGGCAGCACCCGGACCCCGAGCCCCACCTTGAGGTAGGCGGCTTCTGTCTCCGCGATGGTCCGATCGAATTCGTTCCGAGAGGCGATCTTGCGCGCCAGGTTCTCGTTGACTCGGGCCAGCTTCTCCGTCAGCTGCCTCACCTCGTTCTGCAGCCTCTGCTTCTCGTCCTCCTCCTGCTGGATCTGCCGGCACAGCTCCTCCCGCTTCTGGCACAGCTCCTCGATGCCTGGGGCGGGCGGGGAGAGGGCGCAGTGGGCGCCGGGGGCCGAGGCGGGAACGGGAGTGCCGGCCCCGGCGCGCGAGGCGAGCGGCCAGCGTAGGCCCGGGCGCCCAGACCAGGCCGGCGGCCGGCGTCCCAAGGCGTCTGGCGTCTCAGAAGGCCCCGCGCGAGCCCCAGTACAGTCTGAGGGGCCGAAAGCGCCCAGGCCCACGCACCCTGCTCGCGCCACAGACGCCGGCTCTCGGGGCGGCCACTCCGCGGCTCCGCCCAGCATCCGAGCAGCTTCGGCAGGAACAGCCGCGCGCGGCGGGCCAGCGCCGGCCCGGGCCCACAGGCCGGCGACCCTGCCGCCCTCCCAGCCCGCCCGCCGCCCTCGCCGCGCGGGAACTCACACTTGACCAGCTCGTTGTTGTAATTCTGCAGCGCCGCGCCCTGCTGGGTCATGTTAGCCGCCAGACCCCGCCGCCCCAACCGCCACTGCCGCCCCCTTGGGCCCCTGCGCACGACCTCCGCTCGCCCCGCCCCCGAGTCGCGTCACCGCCCCTGCGCCTCTCGCCGCGCACCGTGTGCGTCATCGTCGCGCGCGCCCGCTCAGCCCGGCGTCATCGCGGCGCGCCTCAGCGAGCTGCTCTGAAGGCTGGTGGGCGCAGATGGCGGCGGCGGCGGAGGCGGGCAGTGACGCGGGGCCTGCGCAGGAGCTGCTGGCGGCCTGGAACACCGTGAGCACCGGCCTGGTGCCTCCGGCCGCGCTGGGACTGGTGAGGCCCGAGTAGAGGGCGATGGGCCGGCGCGTGGTGCCTGGGGCCCCGAGCCCGCCGGCGCCCGTCCTGGCTTCCCTTCTGTGTTCCACAGCCCTTCCCTCACGTGGGCCTGCGTCCCTGCGACGAATGGCGGCGGGGTTCCCGTGGCCTTCCATCCGCGCTGTCCCTTTCCCGCTTGTCCTCACCTGTCTCCACCCTCTCCGCCTCTGCGCTGCGTCCTCTTCTCCTCACGGTTTTCTGTACTGCAGGCGTCCTCCCGGACTAGTGGTGCCGTCCCTCCAAAAGAGGACGAGCTCCGGGCGGCGGTGGAGGTGCTCAGGGGCCACGGTCTGCACTCGGTCCTGGAGGAGTGGTTCGTAGAGGTGCTGCAGAACGATCTGCAGGCCAACATCTCCCTCGAGTTCTGGAATGCCATCTCTCAGCGCGAGAACTGTGCGGACGAACCCCAGTGCCTTCTGTTGCTGCTCGATGCTTTCGGTCTGCTGGAGAGTCGCCTGGATCCCTACTTGCGTAGTCTAGAGCTCCTGGAGAAATGGACTCGCCTGGGCTTGCTGATGGGCACCGGTGCTCAAGGGCTTCGGGAAAAGGTCCACACCACGTTGCGGGGCGTCCTGTTCTTTTCCACTCCCAGAGCTTTTCAGGAGATGATCCAGCGCCTCTATGGGCGCTTTTTGAGGGTTTACATGCAGAGTAAGAGAAAGGGGGAAGGAGGCACAGACCCCGAACTGGAGGGGGAATTGGACAGCAGGTATGCCCGCCGCCGGTACTACCGCCTTCTGCAGAGCCCTCTGTGCGCAGGGTGCGGCAGTGACAAGCAGCAGTGCTGGTGCCGCCAAGCGCTGGAGCAGTTCCACCAGCTCAGCCAGGTCCTGTGAGTACTTGGCCTGCGTGTCCTGTGTCCCTGTCCCTCCTGGCTCCTGCTTGCCCCTCTGAGTCCAGCCGGTCCCTGCAAAGAGCTGGTGAGCTGGCTGGGGGTGGTCTCTGCCACTCGCCTTGGTCGCCGGTTCTCAGGATGTGTGTGCTCTGAGTTTATACCTCTTGTCCTTGCCATAGGTGGATCTGTCATTCACCCTGGCTCAGGATTTTGTACTTTGCTTACGCTAAGATTCCATGATTCTAAGTTTTCCGGACTGTGCAGAATTCTGCTGTGCCTACTGCAGGCTCTCAGAAGTGGAATGATGTTTGTTTTGGAATTGAGAAAAGTACGCCTGCTGTTTCTGCTCTGTAGAGCAAGTCAGAGATTAGACCAGCGTGCTGGGCAAACTGATGGCCCTTGTAGCCTTCTGAGGAGGGAAGGATTCTATTGTCAGACCCAGATCCTGTCGTAGGGGGTCCCTGATTCTCCGTGGGTGCTTACTTTTGTAAGATGTCTATTTTTCCTTTATTTATCTGGCTGTGTTGGGTCTTGGCTGCGGCACACGGGATCTTTTGTTGTGATGCGTGGACTTCTCTCTAGCTGTGGCATGGGGTTCAGTAGTTGCGACATGGGAGCTTAGTTGCCCCATGACATATGGGGTTTTAGTTCCCTGACCAGGAATTGAACCTGTATCCTCTGCGTTGGGAGGATTCTTAACCCCTGGACCACTCGGGACATCCCGTGGCCCCTTATGATGATTTTGTCAATTTGAGTGAAGTGGCAGCCGCACAACTGTCAGTCTTCTCCCGGGACTGAGGGTGGGGCATGTCCACAGAAGCTTTGTTCTCTTGGGATTTTCTGCCATCACGGGTCAAGATCAGCACTGAGAAGCAGAGACTGCTACATCTGTGTCCACGTGGCTGGAGTAGTGACGTCTTTAGCTGTTGTTTGAGGGCCGTTGTTAGGAGATGAACGAGGCCTTGGCCTCACTAGCCAGAGATGCTGACCCCTTGGGGAGAGTGGGAGGTGCCTTATCGGTGCTTTGTCATCTCAGCGGCTTTGCCTTGAATTCCCCGGTGCAGTTTTGCTCCAGCGGGAGGGCTGCGGGAGGCGTGTGCTGAGGGGGCGGGGCGGGTGCGTGCGCTGTGCACTCCACTGGCAGGGCTCTCCTCCAGGCACAGGCTCAGTCTGCTGGAGCGGGTCAGTGCCGAGGCTGTGACCAGCACCCTGCACCAGGTGACCCGGGAGCGGATGGAGGACCGCTGTCGGGGCGAGTACGAACGCTCCTTCCTGCGTGAGTTCCACAAGGTGAGGCCCCGCTGCCCGCGGGCGAGCGGAGGGGCTGCTGGTGCAGCCGACCAGACACCTCGGCTTCAGAAGCGGGCGCAGTGTGGTGACCTGGGTGAATCAGGACGCTGCTGGTGATTGAAGCTGTCTTGGTGCTGGGTGGAGGCTGGTCATCCTGGGCCCACCCTGGCACCAGCAAGGAAGAACCTGTGACGTGCTTCTTGAGATCTGTGCAGGGTCACATGGCCAGAGGCAGCCCCAAGGCCTGGGATGTCCAGCGAGGGGCTTTGGGGTGTCCATGCTGTTGGGGCGTGGCCTTGGGGCTGCCCTGGGCTGCACAGCGTGGTGGGAGAGCTGGGCCCAACCGTGGGGCTCTGAGCCTGCCCTGCTTGCCACCCGCCCCACTCTGCTGTGTCCTGCCGCCTGTCTCCTGAGGACGCAGGTGCACTGCGATGCTGAGGGTGGGGGTGGTGTTCAGTGTGAGGGTCCCTGCAGTGGGGTGTAGCGCGCGCCTGGAGGCCCGGGGATAGCTGTACTGTTCTGGGCGGCAGACTGTCCAGGCCATCTTGCCGGTGGCTGGGTGCCCCGTCCATCCACTCAGACGCGGCTGAGAGCACTCTGTGAGAGCTACTGCGGCTGGAGATGAGCCTGCTAGTGTGCGTGGGGGGCCTGGGTGTGTGTTGGGGGAGGCCCTGGGAGGCCCCTTTAGGCCCCCATCTGCTGATGTCACTGTGCTCTTGGTCTCGGACGGGTGGCCTGGGGTTCCCAAGGCCCAGCCCGCGGCGGGCAGCTGTACCTCTGCCCTGGGCTTGGACCCTGGAGCCCCACTCCTGTGCTCTCCCGACAGTGGATCGAGAGAGTGGTCGGCTGGCTGGGCAGGGTGTTCCTGCAGGACGGCCCCAGCAGGCCCGCATCCCCAGAGCCGGGCCCCACGCTGCGCCGATGGCGCTGCCACGTGCAGAGGTTCTTCTACCGCATCTATGCTGGCCTGCGCATCGAGGAGCTCTTCAGCATCATCCGAGGTTGGCCCGCCCGCCGGGAGCCCCTTCCCTCGCCTCTACCCTCAACCTGGGCTGGGGGTCAGGGACACACAGGCCCCGCACAGCGTCCGCATCAGGCAGGAGAGGTGCTGTGTCTGCCCCCTCACTCTGCACTGGCCCTTGGGCTCTGCTCCGCCCATCTTCCCCTCAGGGTGGCTGTGCTCAAGTGTGTGGGTCCCTGAGGGCACAGGGGCCACACCAGCCCCCCCGCAGGGCCTCTCTCTGTGGCCTGTGGAGGTGTGGCCGCTCACCCTCCAGACCTCCATCCAGCTGTCTGTGGGCACACCACATGTGCACATACCAGGACCAGCTCTTGCCCACAGACTTCCCGGACTCGAGGCCCGCTGTAGAAGACCTCAAGTACTGCCTGGAGAGGACTGACCAGAGGCCGCAGCTGCTTGTGTCCCTCAGGGCTGCCCTGGAGACGCGGCTGCTCCACCCAGGTGCTGCAGCAGGCCCACCCACCTTCGCCCTCAGGGCCCAGACCCGGGACCTGCGCGTCACCTGACTGGGGTGTCTACCTCCGCGTTATTGTGTTGCTCGGGGTCTCCCATCCCGACTGCAGGCGTGAACACGTGTGACATCATCACCCTATACATCTCCGCCATCAAGGCACTGCGCGTGCTGGACCCGTCCATGGTTGTCCTGGAGGTGGCCTGTGAGCCCATTCGCCGGTACCTGCGGTGAGCGCGGGGCAGCTGAGGGAACCCCACTTGTGCAGCTGAGCCCCCTGCAGGCCTTGGTGGAGCGAGAGGACGTGGTCCTCTGGGCGCCAGGTGCCCTCCCGGGCTGGGCAGCCCAAGCTGGGCACCTTCCTTTTGCCATTGCTGGCTCTGGGCCTGCAGCTTAGGGTCACCACACTGTATGCAGGCCCAGGGCCAGGTCAGCACAGACAGACACACAGGCTCAACTTTCCCTAGTTTCAAGCTGGCCCAGGGCTGACGGGAAGGATCAGTCTTGTGTTGGCCTTTTCAACCCGAGGAACAGAGCCTCTTGACTGTTGGCCAGGGAGCGCAGCCAGCCAGGAGCCCCTGGGGGGCAGTAGAGACGAGCCTGCTGCCCCCTGGCCCTGCGTGGCCTGGCCCGGGTCTGTCCTGTCGTCTTAGCCCCAGATGCAGGAAACAGTGGCCTTTTAATTTTGGGGTTGGCAATGGAATGATGGTCTTGCCTTTAACACGTGACTGTTGGGTGCTGCCTGCGGGGGTTGGTGGGGTCACGGGGTTAGCTGGAGCAGGCAGCGAGGGCTCGTGTCCACCAGGACGCGGGAGGACACGGTGCGGCAAATCGTGGCGGGGCTGACTGGGGACTCGGATGGGACGGGGGACTTGGCTGTTGAGCTGTCCAAGACAGACCCTGCGAGCCTGGAGACTGGGCAGGACAGCGAGGATGACTCTGGCGAGCCGGAGGACTGGGTCCCTGACCCCGTGGACGCAGATCCAGGTCAGCGGCTGGCAGCCCTGCGAGGCCCGGGGTCATTGGGGGACCCAGTCGGGTTGGAGC